AAAGCGCCCTTCTTTCTCCGCGCTGGCTGTTGTCACCCTGTTGATGACGTCAGTGACGCGGTTTAGTCGAGTGCGGTTTTGACGGGTCACGAATACCAACGTCTTTCAAATCCTTGTTTTTATTTGTTGAGAAAAGTGATTATAATTCTTGCAAAGGCCTACTGAACCTCTTGCCCCTTACATAGTCAGGCCAGATATGTCAATATATAGGATATTCTTTATTTGCAAAAATGAATAAATGGAGCAAAATTTACTTTTTAAATGGAAACAGACATTGTTCTTCTCACAGAGAAGAGTTACATTGGTGTATTTGTCTTTCTCAGAGATTTATATTGGTTTATTTATGTACTGCAGGGGTGTCAAACTCAATTTCATTGAGGGCTGCATTAGAGTTGTGTTTGACCTCAGGGAGCCTGGGTGGGCATTGCCAGGGTGGGCATGGCCAGCATGACATCACTTGTGTCAGGGGACCCCTGTAGTGCCCCGAGTTCTCTGCCAGTGAAAACAGGCTCCTGGGCTCCATTTTCAGCTGTGACAGCCTCCTGCAACCATCTGCCAGCGAAAATGGAGCTCAGGAGGGCTGCATGTGGCCCCTGTGAGCTCCATTTTTGCTGGTAGAGGCATCGCAGGCTGGTCCTTCGCTATTTCCAGGGCAGCCCTGTGGGCCAAATCTAAGCACCCTGCGGGCTGGATCCAGTCCCCGGGTTTTGAGTTTGACACCCTGATCTCCTGCATGATTGTCCAGCCTTTTGAGCTGCCTGGACTGGCAATGAGTGAAGACGAATTTGTTTTGGGCCACATATAAAATACATAATATAGTTAATAAATATAAATAAAAAACTTCCTTTATTCTTTATTATCTTGTGGGGCCACATTACTAGCTGTTCAAAACTACATGAAGCCCATGCGCTGTGGGTTGGTCTACTATATATCCCTCATTAAACACTCCAGAATTATTACACAACTTCCTCGCAGTTGTATCTCTAAAATGGGAATAAGGGGATAATAGGGCTTAGAAAATACAATAAGTGAGATTGGAAAGTCTTCTGAATATTAAACAGGCTACATAATGACATATAAGAGAACAATTTTGAAATGTTTGATAATGATTGAAATTAAAGATGTTATTGTTTATATACACGGAGATCCCTCCTGAGATCCATAATGGTTCCCATGCTGATGGCATTTTGGATGGCACTGAAGATCTAGTACTCCTCTGAAGTCTAGAGGTAATGAAATTGTTCCTTAGTTATAGTTGTTTTCTATCTGTTTTTGCATTGAGGGTCCAGATCCCATCTTCTCTATCTATTTTGCACTCTGTTTTAATATTGGTTTGCTAAATGATAAGCCATACAAAGATGACACTTAAATCAAGCCCAAAAAATAAAATAAAATTAGTATCTTCTGCACATGTAAGTTAGCATCTGTCAGGAGAAGTAGCTTGGGTCTGCAGAAGGGCAGTTAAAAAGAAGCTCTTTGATCCCATCTGAAAATGTTAGGACACTTTTAAAATGTTTTGTGATAGTTCTGTGGATCTTAATTATGAGCATCATTTTGTTTCAATCCCATATTTTTCTATTTGTATATTATAAACTATCTCAATTGTCCATTGGGCAGAGTGGCAGAGTATTAATGAAAAAAACAAATAATATTATTTAGCTGAGAATATGTTCTAACCAATTCAACTAGACATACTTTAAATAAATAGACAGGATTACATGGTAAGAATATAATATCATGTACATTTAGGAAGAAAGAATTCTATTGTACTCAGTGGGGCTTTCTGGACTTTTTTTTTGGGGGGGGGGAGAATTGAAGACAGCTCTGCTAAAAAAAAGCTGAAGATTAAGCAAAATGAAAAACCAATTAGTGGACTAACTCTTCATAATTCCACTCCAGAAAAAGAGTGTGCTTGTCTTGAGATCATTCACAAGTGCTTCATACAGTTGTTTCTAGGAGAGATTATGGAACAGAGGTTTATGCCGGGTTTAGAAAATAGCTATCTGGCTTACCACATGGTTGGCACCTTTAAGACCACTGAGTTCATATAATCCCTTTTTCTAATCACTTTCAGAAATTGTTTAACTGCATTTTAAGCTATTAGGAACCTTTGAATTGCCAAACCGTAAAAAATTGGCTGTGAGTTTCCTTTAACCCTTAATGAAAGAAGTTTTAATGCAAGTTTAAGGATCTTTTTAAAAAATCTGAAATAAACAGCAAAGGGGTAATTACAGTTTTGATTTTAATTAGAAAGGCCAGATAAATTTGAAGTAAGATTCTGGAATTATAAGAATCATTCCTTCGGGAAAATACTGTTGCTTTGATTTTAAAAAAAACAGGATACTTTGGAACTTTAAAGGTTAAATTATTGAGGAAGCACAAGGAAGTAATGATTACAATTAAAGGAAAAGTGGATTTAAAAATGACAAGCTACAAGAGTGATATGGGAAAAGATGCTACACTGCACATACAAAAGAAACCACCTTATGGCTTAATAATTAAAAGGGATATGCAAGTAAACCAAGACAGGGATCTGGATGATCTTCCTCTATTGGATTTATAAAAGAAGCTTGTTAAACCTTTGAAGAACTTTGTGAAAAGGGACAAAGAAATAAACTTTTAGGCCACTATCAAGATAGTTACAAAAGAAAGGGAGGAATATAAAGTTGGGTTAGTTGATCAAGATTAGTGGACTTTTCCTGATCATGACTGAAATGACTAGGTTTTAAACTATTTGTTTATAAATAAGAGATGCAATATGAGTGGAAGACATCATGCATTGCATTTTAAGATGATGATTACTAACACTGTTTATTCTTGTGATAAAAGGGAAAGTTATTTCTTTATATATATTTTTCTATAATATATTGTTATTTTTCTCTCCTTTCTATTTCTTTTTCTGCTCTTCACCTTCATTTTTTTCTTTTTCTTTTTCTAGTTTGTATTAAGTTTTTATCACTGTAATTGTAATGTTTAATAAAATTAATATTTGAAAAAGAACTTAATTTTTTCTATAAGAACATTATACTGCTAAAATCTAGTCTAGAATTTTCGGTTTATGGTCTAATGATTAAATCATACAAATAGAATGATTTGAGATGCCCTATTTGAGATTTAGTAAATCACAAATGTATTTGTCTTCTTAGAACAGTCATTTAGAATAAAAATCTTAAAGTCTCCCATATTGTCACATGTCATATAAAAATCTTCAGCATTTTTATTATTAAAAACAAACAGTGATAATGGAAATAGTCTTTCTGAAGCATTGTTTTACATTCAGGTAATTGTGCGTCAGACAAAATCTTTTGGATCACATAATATTGCACTAAAAGGAAACAATGCATAAAAGACAGCTGTGACTACAAGCCATGTCCCTATGAAGTCACAAGGAATGCCTCCTGAATGAAATGCCATCCGGTATGAATGAAATAGCACACTGGAGCATCTCCAGTGGTAAGCCTCTTCTGCTTTTGCTTCATGGATGCAAAACCAGCAAAGTTTTCCAACCCGATTAATCCCAAAATATCAAGGAAAATGGCACCTGCTTGCTAATTAGCAATTCTACACACATTTCTGGATGACAAGGTTAGAAACAAATACTGGAAACAAAGTCAATGGTGAAGCCAAGGCAACCAGAAGTAAGGTTGCTGCTTCACAGAGGGAGAACAGGATGAGTGAGAAAGACCAGAAAGGGAGAGGGAAAATGAGCTGTTGAGAAGATCTACACTAAAGCCACCATCTGGAAGTCAAGGGCACCAACTGAGGAACCTCAAGGAGGTTACCTTGGCAGTTGGCACACATGTTCCAGCTGTTCCAAGCCCCTTCTCAGCGTCTCCTAAGAATCAAGAGTTCCAAAGCTAGAACTGTTGTAGGGGGGGGGGGGGGAACCAACCCCAAAACAAAACCCTAACCCTAACCTCTATTTCAGATCATCTGCCTCCAGCTTGGAGCGTCCGCAGCAACGGTTTAAGGGACGCCTGAAGCTAATGCAGGGAAAAAGCCGGTCACTTCTTCTTCAACCGACTCAGTTCCACCGCCACTTCTCCCCGCCACGATCCTAGCGTCCCTTGTTTGCCCTCTTTCTTTCCTCCCGCCTTGCTCGGTCCCTTCTCGTCTTTTACACCCCGGGATCCCCGCAACCTTCTCCCTTTAAGACGCCCCTGGATCTCTGCATCCTTTCCTTCCCTCCCCGTTTTCCTCCGACTTTGAGGAAACTTGTTCCGCTGGCGGAGGCGAGCGGCAGCAAAGCGACGGCCGGTCCCCGAGGTTCACCTGCCCACCGAGGTGTGCTCGTACCTCGAAAAGCTGCGGGATCTCCCTCCTGGTCAGGTAATCTTTGGCGTCGCAGCTGCTCATGCCGCCTGGCGGAGACAAGGCGATGGCGCGCGATTTGGGGTAGCTTGGCTGGCGCGGCTGGCGCTTTAGAGCCCGGCTCTTTCTCGGCTCTTCGCCCCCAGCGCTCCGGTCCTCGTCCCTGGCAAAAACCGCTCGCTCTTGGAAGGCGAGGCGATCAGAGAGAAGCGGCAGCAGCAGCAACAGCAGCAGCGCCTCCGCTCTTCCTCACCCGAGCTGCCTTTACCCTCCCAGCTCAACCCGCGCGCCGCCAGTCAAGCTGGGGCTGCTGGGGGTGGGTGGGAGTGGGTGGCTGCTCTGGAAAGGCGCCGGGGAGGGAGGAGACTGTCTCCAAATCGCACGATCGCGCTTTTCTGTACACACATACACATATACACGCGCACGCGCGAGCACGTGGCGCTCCTGAAAAAGAAAGAGAGGCGGCGATCGAGCCGGTTGTTCGTGGCTTTCCATGGGGTGTGCGCCCTTAGAGCCTGGTTCCGGAAACCTTCCCCTATCGGCGAGCCCACGATGGCCGGCCCTTTTACAAAGTTTACGCTCTATGAAGCCAAGATTTCTGCAACCTCAAGCTCAGCCTTCGCGCCCGGCGGCTGATCTCGGGCTTTTCCATTCTCACGGAGTACAGGAACGCGGGGTGTGTGGACATCTGGATTGAGGGCGAAATTGGGGAGAAGATTCCTGAAACGGTGTTCCTTCATTTGGGCGTATGTGTGCGTGCGTGCGTGCGCCAAGGGGAAGATCCACTTATGGACTAAATTAAATATTTAGACCAAAAAATGCCCATATTATTGAAGGCAGTCTCAACATCTCAAGTTCAGCTGCTTAGTTATCGAATTTATTTAGCCATCCACATCACAAACCTGACCCTGGGTGGCATACAATAAAACAACCAATTAAAAAAAAAAGAAAATGAAAAACAATTTAGACACTTATATAAATGAGATTACAAGAGAATGGACCAAGGTGTAATCATCTTTTTTTTTGGGGGGGGGGTTCTCTGGCATCCTCAATGTTGGAAGAACCATGTTTTGAAGGATTTCCTAAATGCCAACATCTGGCTACTCTCACCTGGGCTGGAGAATGATGCTGCAGAGAGCCACAGCAGAAGATGTGTTAAAATTAATGTCCTTCCTTACTGGATCTGATGGGACAGGTAAATTTAGCCAGGTGGCCTCTCAAATAAACTGATTCCATGCCATGTATGACTTTATAGGTCAAAAATAGCACCTTGAATTGAACCCAGAAGCAAACGAAATAAGGCAGCAATGGAACAAAGGTATAATGTGCCATTCTAGGGGCACACATAAGTGCTCCACACTGCCACGTTTTGTACCAGTTGAAGCTTCTGCATGCTCTTCAAGCAACAGTATGTAGCGCATATTACACTGCAAGTAGTCTTCAACGTACAACAGTTTATTAGTGACTGTTCGAAGTTACAACAGCTCTGAAAGGTAACATGATCATTTTTCACACTGAGCATTGCAGCATTCCCGTGGTCATGTGATTTAGATTCGGATGCTTGATAACTGGTTCATATTTATGACAATTGCAGTGTTGCACAGTCATGTGGTCACCTTTTGTGAACTTCTGACAAAGTCAATAGGAAAGCCAACAATATTGTTACTAATTTAACAACTGCTGCAATGAGTCACTTAATAAATATGGCAAGAAAAGGCATAAAATGGGTAAAACTCAAATTTAACAAATTTCTCACTTAGCAACATAAATTTTGGGCTAAAATGTCATAAGTTGAAGACTACCTATAGTCCATTTGGAGGGAACCAGGACATGAATAACTGTGAGCAGTTGCAGGAGTGTGTGCAACTGGTGGTACACAGCATGAAGCTTCCAACATGAAGGGGCTGGATTTTGAGGGTCTATGATAATTTGCTGCAGCCAACTTGCCAGGGCCAAGTTGCTGCAGCCAATTCACTCTGGACAACTCACCATGACCACCTCGCTGCAACACAACCCACTGGGGGACAAGAGTTACACTAATATCCAAGAAATGGTGGGATAGAACCATTACAGAAAGGATGCAAAAGGAGGGACAGAATGAAATGTGAATAGCAGAAATTAAAATAACTTTTTATTTATTTTAAATCATTAAAT